AAAGCTAATTTCGAAAAAATTATAAGGATTGAGGACTTGATCTGCAATAAATGACCCATTTCATTAAGGGTATATTTTAACAAAAATCTTAAAAAGCCACTATTCATAGGTCATTTTGCAAAATCTCCCTATTGAAAGGCTTGTCTAAGTGACAACTAAACAGTATTTTTGGTCAAATAAATGAATTTTTTTTATATAATTATAATATTCAATTCAATTTAATGCAATCAGAATCCGCAGCCACTGCAAAGACATTATAACCTATAAATTGAAATTCTATCCCAAGATTAAGAAATAATTAAAAAAAAAATAAGATTATCTTTTTTCCCAAAAATAAAGATAAAGAAATATCCTCAGCAATGCAACCAATTATGATTAAAGCGTGCTTCTAAGTGCTTGAAAGTTGGACTCCATTTACAGCATAATGGATTGGCTACAGTGAATAAACAATTTGGTGCACTTGCAATCAATTTGAAGAAGAAAATATGTTTCCAACTAATCAATTCAACAGGGAAAAAATGAAATATCGTATTGTTTGGTGTAAATGAATTTTTCAACTATTAAGAATTTTTTTTTTTTTGTGGGTTCTTTAATAATGTCCAGACTATCTTGCCAAATGCACAGTAGAGATCCAAATAAGTACAGATTTCGATCCGACTATATACCTTATTGTATTGCTATAACCTCTTTCATCAATGTTACTGTCTAAAAATTTAAGGAATAAAATGGAAGCATCAATGAGGCAAAAAAAAAAAAACAGAAATGTGATTATTACCACTATAATACAGGCACTGAAATGGACAATGGCACTGAAACATCACCAGCAAAACTCGTATCCCTATCCGCAGCTGAGTTCCCAGCATATGCATACCCTACACCCAACCCACCAAAATGCAAGGAGGCCTTTTCACACCTTTGGAAAACTCTAGCAAGCGACGCCGCTTTTCTTCGTGCTCGTTTGGTCCCCGTGAACAGTAAACTCTGGAGCAAGCTTGCCAACGCCGGTGCCTTGAACACCCTCTCCATTGCAGCTGCTCCACCACTTCTACATAATTCAAGTAATGCCGCCACGGCATTTTCTTTACCCCTTGGAGTGCCACATCGCATCATTCCAATCAACCCCAAAACTGCCATTTCCTCGTTCCCAACTGCTTCAGCTCCAATTGGCTGACGAACAATCAGGGCCAAAGCCACTGCTGCTTCTTCAGAGACATCTTCATTTCCTAATGCCCCGACAAGAGCAGTTATAGCTCCTGACTCGATCATTCTCGCACAATTCTCAGAGTGTGTAGAAAGATTAAATAGGGCCATTACAGCATCCTTTTTACCTCGACGTGTTCCCTCCTTCAGCAGCGTGGACAAGGCTTCTACTGTCCCATCTTCTTCCGCTATTCTTTTCTTATATTCATGAACAGAAGATAGACTGAACAATGTGGCAGCAGCATTTTCCCTAGCCTCAATTGTGTGTCCAACTCTTAAAACTCTGGCTATGGATCCTAAACACCCTTCTACATTCATGATCTGGCATTTATTCTTGTCATAAATAGACAGGTTAAGCAATGCAGTCACAGAATTCTCTTGTGCGAAGGCATCCGCTGACATAAGCAGTGTTTTCAAATGGGGTATGGCTCCAGCTTCGGCAATACAAGCCCGATTTTCCCTTCCAGTTTTAGCCAACAATCTTATCTCCCTCGCAGCAACAGTTTTTGCACTCTGTGTACCATTTGCTAACTGTTGAACAAGAAGACTAGCTGTAGCTTTACTTGCTTCAATAGCAGCCTTGCTTGGTGAACCAGCCACAAAACTTTCAACAGACGAAACTGAACTCTCAGGTGTATCATGTGGAATTCCAAGAGCCATGCACCACTGAGTGATCAAATTCCTTAAAGCTCGATTTGGCACCAGATGAGTGTGATCAAGCATTTGACCTGTTTTCGGACAAGTAAGATGCCCTTCCTCCATCCACCTTGATATTGACTCCCGATCATATGTCTGACCAGTTGACACAGTCACTGGATCCCTCATCAAATCCAATGATATCGGGCAACAAAAATCTTTGGGGATTGTGACGAATGTATCCGCTATCTCCCTAGTAATCAACCCTTTCTTGTTCTTCTTATGCTTCCACTCGAATTCACCCTCGTCATTCTCAAATCTAAACAGCAAGAACCTACTATACCGCATTAAAGCCACAAATCCATTAAGAATCGGGGCAGTTGGCTCAATATCCCCATCATGACTCACAATCTGCTCCTCCAAAAATTCAATCTCAATTCTACAACTTTTAGCATCGCAAATTGCCAATTTTTCCACTAAAAAGGAGCGCAGTTCATTAGGATCAGGAATCCTACCATCCTCAAATTCGTTCAAGTAATAATAAAGCTTCAACCTCAAGGAATCATCATGCTTATCAATCATCAACTTCGACTTTCTTGATTGTTCTCGTAACAATTCAACTTGTTCATTTACATCTTTGGATAAATTAACTTCTATGGGAAAAACATCCAAAAGGGTCGAGATTTCCTGACTCAGATCATGGAAATGACCCGAAATCGATTGGTTTTGAAGCAGGAGCCATAATTTACTCGAATATTTGATATAATCAAGCAGGATTTTCGATCTATAAAGTAGGAGGTACAACTCCTTGAAGCATAACAACACCGTTGAAGCCATTTTTGACAAGCCCATCTCGCGAAAAGAATCCAAAAGAACAGAAAGAACCTGGATTTTCCGGATTAAAGATCTGGAATTCTTCCGCTGGAAAAACGGCAACATTTTATTGTCAGCTGAGAACGATGAAATCAGTTCTCCAGAAACAGCACGTAAAGTTTCCAACAGAGCCGTGTTTGGTAGATCCACCGGAGCGAGAAACGCCTCCACCGAAGGTGACCTTCGCCGGCGCAACGATGAAAATATAGCCGCAGAAGCCATTTATTCCAAAGAAAAAAATTATCGACAATTTCTACCAAAATTAAAGGGTATATCAAACTACGCGTGATAATAAGCAAATTGGATGTGGTTGACACATTAACTTTATGGGATTTTGAAGATTGGTTTTGTATATTTATGTGTGCAATTTATGGGTATATAAAACCATAAATTATTGAATCCGCGTATGACGAAGAAGACGAAGAGAAAAAGGAGAAAAAAAGGTGGGTTTTTTCTGTGTTTTCATCTAATTGTTTCTTGACTGGAATTTTCATAATAAATTAATGGTTTCATTTTTGTTGACCTTTTGGATTTGCTCCAAGAAATTCAATGCACCAGTCTGTGCAATGGAAAGAGACCTTGCCGCGACTCTGATCACTATTTATATTATCGTTTATAAATCATCCCTATTCTAATGATATGTTTGGCCTTGCTTAAAAATAAGTAATGAGGTTTTCATGCGAACAACATGAGCTGAGAGAGCCGACTATTATGGATCCAAATACTTATCTCTCAAATTTAACGGCCATGAAAACATATCGATCCAACCATATCTCTAAGTAGATAAGATTAGTGTAGCATATACTATAATAAAAAGACAAAATCCGAGATAGATATATACTAAAACCCTAGTGTAGGTGTTATCACGAATCAACTATCAGGATAGTCAAAGATAGACATTTCTCCAGCTAAATTTTATAGTTTAATAGAATGCAACGTACTCTTAATGTGATGACAACGAGGGTTGTTCTTGAGGATTAAAATAGATCACACGATATGATTTTTGATTTATCACTACTTCAACTACTAGTAAAAGTTGCATCAATATAGAATTCAATAGTGAAATAAGGAGTGAAGTTTCATTCTTAATATATTACACCGTTTATAGCTACTCCATAATTCAATATTTTGATAGTTCGAGTGAAAACTAATTCGTTTCGACCACATCGGACTTGGTATAAATCTGCCTATTTCGGCAGCAAAAATCTTGAGTTAGCCGAAGTATATGTTTGAGTTCCATTTTTGGCTAAAAATGTATTTTGAAATATTAGATTAATTAATAATGTGTAATTAAAAAATAATGAAAAATTTTGAATTTGTGTGTAACATGACTTTATTGAAGAATGTATGATTAAAAAAAATAACGAGGATCAAATAACAGCGCAGTGTTAAAACTTAAGGCGTGATTCGTGAATAGGTTATTAGATTTCCAATCAATTGAAGGGTTGACTATACGCGATTTCCGTTGCGTGTTTAACTTGGTAGTTAACGTTAGCACTTGGCCTAATCCACTTGGGATTATAAACGGAAATGATTATTGTTTTTTGGTTTGACCAAACGGCATTAAAATCCAATGTATATTACAAATTACAGTGCATTAGGGTATGGTATCCCAAGTCAAAGAATCTTATGGCATAGGATCCCTGTCTCGACTCTAATAAAAGTTAGACATCAATCGAGTAATGCTATTTAATATCATTATTGTTACAACATTTATTTAAGCGACACGAGTATTAAATAAAATATACAATTACATGAATCATATATTTTTACGAACTTATCACACAATGATACCTACTGATATTATATAATATTATTCCTTAATATTAGAACTTGTCTTTATGTTAGTTTTTACTTATTTGCTCAAATTTCAATGTAAACTTCTTGTGACCAATGTGGGATGGGTATCAAAATATGTTGAGTTGTCTATATTTGACATCGATTAGTTGTGGCATGAGTTAACTTGTCCTTGCAATAAGGCAATGCTGAATTCGACTATGAGAGCTCACAACTTATATGAAATCATCGCATCTATGGATTGGCCTGTGCTAGTTCGTTAGGGTTCGGTATACAATTCCAAGCAAAAATATACTCGCACATGTTTTCTTGCATTTTTGAACATCATAAATCATTTATTCTAATCATAAAGAAAATGATGATGAGCATGAAGCAAGTCTATGTTAGAGCAACGGTGGACGAAGAGGAAGCAAAAATATCAAATTGATTAATACAAACATTGGTGAGAATCCGATACCCTGAAAATTAAGGATACCTTTGCAAGTTTCATCCTGAAGTATTGGAATTATTCAGTAATCAAAAAATGAAGTTAACTTATTTTAAGATTCGCCAAACATGCTCTAGCATGATTTTATACCTGAGAATATTTTTAAACATATTTGAATACTTCAATATTTTTAAGGAAAAAAGTTACTCATTTAACACAATTACTTATAACCTATCTGTTTTAGTCCCATTTTTTGTCCAAAATGCATTTTGAAATAGTATTTTGATGGATAATGTGTGGTTAAAAATTAAAGAAAATTTTTGGATTCACGTGTAATATTATTTTATTAAAAAATGTGTGATTAAAAATAAAAGAGAAAAAAATATATTTTGAAAATAATGGAATCAAACAAGGACTTATATGTGCAACTCATAACTATTTTTGTAAGGACTAAACATGCACGTATTCATCAAATACAGGGGAAATATGAAATTTATTCACAAGCGTAACCCACTCCCACCTGCCGGGGCCACCCACCCCGCAATATGGGACCCACGTTACGTCAAGTACCGTACTTGTCACTCCACGGACTTGGTCAACACAAATTAAGAGTCAATGGCTGACGTCCTTGAAGGGTTTAAAGTCAAAATCACTTAAAACGGTGGCCAATAAAATCAAACGGTGGTTGGCCCGCCGCCCGCTGTTATTTTTAGCTGTTAACCACCGGCTAAGCCTTGAGCTTATCGCCGACGTGGCTTTTGGATAATTCCGCCGCTGCCGACGTATAGCATGTCTGAGCCAATTTTTTTGAAAATAATCTATTTTGAAATAGTGTTTTCATAAAGAATATATGATTAAAAAATAAAGAAAAATTCTGAATGCACGTTTAATATTATTTTATTGAAAAATATATAGTTGAAATAAAAGAGAGAATAATAATATTTTGAAAATAATTAGGACAAGGGCTTATTGTTTAAATCCTCTTTTTTCTTCTTGAAATGGTGATTATTGTTTAAATTCCCTTTTTATTAGAGACGAGCTCGTTATGTTTGCTGCTGCTTCTTACTTGAAATAATCACTTCGTTCAAAATTCCCACCAATGAGATTAAAAATGTTAATAATATTTTTTTTTAAATAAAAGACATTTGACTGCATGAAAAGAAATTATCTTTCCTGAAAAAACAACCGTGCTACACAAACAAGCTCAAAAATAAATTCAAAAATAGGGAGGACGCGTGAAGACACATGATGGCAAACGGGTGTTGCCAAGTCAGCCTGACCATCATTTCCCTGTCTTTGAACCTGTTCAATCATCATTATTCCGGAAGAAAATTGCAGAATCTACATTTTTCTGGGTTTCAGACGGACCACAGCGGAAACTCAAGTTCAGTTTCCCTTTGGACAAAGGAAAACTATCAAAATCAAAGCTTTCAAATATTAATTATTCCGACTAATTAGAAAAGTCATGTTCTTGGCGTTCACATTGAAGTGTATTACACGGAAATTGCTGGAATATTTGACTTCATAATAGGAAACTTGAAAATGGGTTTGTCGTATTGTAATGCATTCGCACTCAAAAAGGTAACATATCCGAACAATAATCATACGCTAAATCATCATATATTTTGAGGCACAAAGCAGCAAAATAACAAAGAGGCTAAAAACTAATGTCCATGCTCGGAATGATTTCCGAGCTTTATACGATATTTCGTATCCGGTCGACCGAGTTTATCCCAGAACATTCTACATAATACTGGATTGTAGAATACATCCATCTTGCCAAACAAGCCAAATACTGTGTTACAACCAATAATGAAGCGCATTTGCATTGATGTAATTTCATGTCTTCAGCAATTTAAGAGCTCTTAATCTTAATTTCAAATCTCGAAGGTGAAAAAACTTGAATAAGGAAACTTAACTATTCATCGACAAAACCTATAATGTTTCGTTTGATCTACTACTACTTTATTCTCATTGAATAGGATATGATTAATGAAAGACCTAAACATAAATAAATCTCCGTGATAGAACTGAATTCTGCATTGAAACCTTTCAAATACATCTAGTAGTATTGTTTCTTGTTTTTACCTCGGAGATCTGCCAGAGAGACACCTTCCACACGAGACAAATTTCAGCAAAGTTTTTGACTTCCTCGTTCTGATTTTCAAGCGCGAAAGCTGCATACACAGATATACGTGAGTTCAATCAACACAAACAAATTATAAGATCCTAAAATCACTCACTTGTTGGTGAATCATTTTTACTTTCACTTCTTATTCATGGCCCAGTGGTTTTACCATTTAAAGGGCACGACATGTGAGAGTCGCAGGCCATTTTAAACAGCAATTTGGAAGGTTAAGTCACCGGGATAATCAATACTACTGAAGCAAAAGGTTGAGGATTTATATGTTCCAAATGAAAGGTCGTGGTGTAACTTGCTTCAGAAATCATAGGTCGAGAAACCGGCCGCCCATTGGGACATATAAACTGGATTTGGAACCAAATCATAGATGGGGAATTAATCACAGGCTTCATAACATCAATGGCGTTGATTTAGGATTTTAATCATTCGTAGACAGCTATAATTTTTCATTTAACAAAAATAGCAGGAATGGAAATAAAAATCATGAGCAGTCAGTATAGAAGTTTTTCTCATCAAGAATGCAAATGAAGGGGTTGTGCTCAACAGGAATGTACCCAACTGCTTCCATCCAAGCAAACCATAAAAATAATGCTAAAGTGCAAGTAATTCAATTCGGATAACATTCATGAACCCAATATATAAGACAATTTGAAACACCCTATCAAATCTTAAACTATTTTTACCTTTCGACGGGTTACTCTAGGAACATTCCAACAAAGCAAGCCTCTTGATCTTGGTTCCAGTCTCCTGCAAAAGAATAAGTACCAGAACCATATCAGTAAAATATCATGGTAAAAATGATTGTACAGGGTCTTTTTATCTTTTTTTTTTTTTGAACGTGTACACACACCCAGCAGATAAGTGTCATAAGATTTGAGGATCACAAAAGAACTACGTACAGATTTTCTTGCTCAAGCTTTTCAGCTATAGAAACAGCTTTGCGCTTTGACCATCCACTTTGTTGTGAACATCTTTCTGCCTGCTGAATTACATGAGCAAGGGATACCTTGCCTCTAACTAGGCTTAGACTCTGATTTCTCTCGCCTAACTTTTTTCGATCTGCAAAAGAAATCCCCATATTTCTCTGGTCATAGTGTGCCTTTTCCTTTTTGTTATCACTCCCTTTAGGTTCTCTTGGAGAAGCTTCTACTTCAACAATTTCAGTTCGACCCATTCCAGTCGTTTCAAACTGGGTTTGAGGCGAACCATCTCTACTTTGCTGAAGATTACCTGTCCTGGGCATCCCACTACTGGCAAGTGGGCGAGATGAAATTTCCTGAGATGCAGGTAACATAATTGGTCCTCCCCTGAAATTTTTACTTGATTCATCAGGTAACATAATTGGTCCTCCCCTAACATTTTTACTTGATTTACATCTAATTTCAATTGTCACAGGGGACCGAAGAACTGACTCAAAAGCTTGTAAAATATGCTCCCTGAATTTTTCTGCCTTAGATTTTGTCAGCGGTGAACTGAACATCAGTTGAACAGTTGGAGCTGCAAAAAATATGAATCTTTAGACATACAAGAACTTTTTATACAGTTAAAAAAGAAAAATGTATTTCATGAACTAAATGTCTTGCTGCAGAGGCATTCAGATACCAATTACTGAAATCAAAATAATCACAAACTGGGTGTCACTGTAACAACTAATTGTCACTATAGTCCAAACCAAAAGGGAAACAGAAAGAACTACAGTACATATAAATTGAATTTTGTCTTTAATGGCCTCAAAAGCCTTTCAAGCTACAGTGCACAGAAAATTATTTCTATTAAAATTGAGGTCCAAATTATATCCAAGCAAAAACTAGCCGAAAAACCAAGAGAAAATTGGATATATGTCACTTGTCTAAAGGCGTAATAATGCAAGTTAATCCTACCTGCACCGAAACTGACTGAGATCAGCTTTCCTTCTTGATATAGAAACTCTTTTATGCTATTTATTGGTATCTTATGTAACACATCCAACCAAATTTCTTCAATTCCATGACCAAATTTACCCTGTAATTGCACACCCGTTGCTTTATTTTTATCTTCTGAAGCACTGTACCCCTGTTGAGAGACTCTGTCTATGCTGATACCCTTCATTTTACCACTATGATAAATGTCCCCAGAACTTCCAGCTTGAAAATTAGGCGCTTCAGTATGTTTGACATTACTTTTTCTTGGTCCATCTCTTAAAGCAAAATCACTTAATCTTGGGGGACTATGATTAAGACTAGTATCGGCGGAGGAACTTCGTAGCATATACTGCTGATCAGGAGCTAGTTGTAGCAGAGCCGCCGTCAGCCAAGTTATTTTATCATTCGACATTCTCAGCTGCTTTTCAGCTTCAGATAATGTTTTCAGGGCTTGACGGAGTTTTTCCATATCTTCTTTTGATACTGAAATTAACAAATTTTAGTACTCAGTTGAGGAAAAGAGAGAAATTGATAAAAGATGAGAAAGTAAAGAGAGGCCAGCTTGCTTAAATATTGAAACTTATAAATTTAGATTAGAAAAGTTTGGAAGTCATACATTTTTTTAATGGTAATTAGAAAGAAATGAAAACATGGAAACCTTAAATGTAGTGCATTAAGAAAAGTCGAGTATCTAGTTTGAAGTATTTTATGAAGTTACATTACCCCATCATTGTTATTTCATCTATGTAACTATATTCATATCCTCAATTCCGAACTCCAACACGACGTATTAGACATAGACTTAAATAATATGAACAGACCAAATGGTCCTAGAAAATTAGACTTACATGCTTGCCGCCGAAAAAACTTCCTTCTAGGCCTTTCTTTAATAAAATCGTAGCTTCCAGCCAAAATATCAGTTATAACTGTAGCAAGTTGCGACATTAATGCCAATGGTTCAATACCAGATTCCATGATCTCTCTCAGATTCTTCACGGTATTGACTGTGTCTGCGGATAATGCTAAATCAAGTAGGTCTACTAACTTCTCGTCGGATATAAGCCCGACCTGTAAAACACAAAAAAAAAAAATTGCATATATATTGGATGTCCGGATCACAGAAATATGATGCAGGAAGAGGATTTTGAAACTTTTATGCATGTTGAAGGAATCCTGTTGTGCAAATATGGAGACTACAGCAACAGTGGAAGCAAATAATAAGGTGGCACGGTGGAAGAATTAAAATTGCAACAAAAAACAGAAAAAAGAATTTACGTGGTTCAGCAATTGCCTGTGGAGAGATCATAACAGGTCAATAGCTCCACATAGAGATTACAATTGAGTATCTCTCTCAATCTCACAAAATCACAAAATCACGAGCCCCATTCATTCCCAAATTTTCTATCTACCAATTCTTGAACTCGCTTTATCGTGGGAATTACTCTATCCTAACTCTTGCACATTTTCCTTTATGTCTTACTCTTTCTTCTCTCCCTTTGTATCTTTTCTTTCTCTCTCACACACTTTTTTCATTCTCTACTAAAAATGAATAAAAAGCACCAACATTTATAGGAGTCACGGGCTTGGCCAATAATTGGGCAATCAGGACATATAGCATGCATATATCTTGTGCAATGAGGACAACGAAGAACAAGCATCCTTGCCACAAGAAAAACATGGCATAAAGGTAACCTAATTTTAACCAAAAATTTTAACACGTCTATTTTATCCTATATCACATGAACCAAGTCTTCGCATTGGCATAATCAGCAACCGCAATCGATAGCAGCTTTAGCAAGTCATAATGTGCTACAATGAAGTGAGATTCAGAGTTATATTTAAGAAATCATTAAAGGCAAAAATCACACAGAACTCACCAGTTCCTGTACGAGGGGAACAGAGATTCTCTGCCCAAGCAAACTCAGTTGTTCTAGAGTCATCTCGGCATCCCTTAAAGATCCATCTGATCTTGATGCAATAAGCTTTAGCGCATCCTTATCAATTTCTAAATCTTCCTTCGTAGCAATCCATTGTAAAGTATAGATTATATCTGCATCTTTTAACTTTGGGAAGAAGAATTTCTGGCACCTGGATATTATGATATGAGGCAAGACATCGAGACTAGAGCTGATGAGGATAAAAATGACACGCCTAGGAGCTCGGTCAATGACCTTCAATATTGCATTCCAACAATCATGAGACAACGTATCACATTCATCAAAGATCAAGACTCTGTACTGAGGTGGAAGCTGGGAAAGAATCATGTTGTCAAGAAGGTCAGTAATGGTTTCAAAGTCAAAATTGCTTACTGAGCCCATTTCCCTTATATTTCGGCTCTTCCCCACATCATATGCAACACAAGAATTGCAAAAGCCGCATGGTTTGGGATTCTCCAAAGACTGGCAATTTAACGCTCTGGCAAATATGCGTGCACCGGAGGTCTTTCCAGTTCCATGAGGCCCATAAAACACATAGAGCAAACTGACCTTCCTTCTAATTACTGCATTGGAAAGAGCCTGTGCTACCAAGTTTTGACCAACCAGATCTCTAAAAGTTCTTGGCATGTACTTTTGAGTAAGATTTTGATGCCTGCCATTGCGATGCCTTCGAAATTTGTGTTGATCGCCGGATCTACCTTCTGAGACAAGGTCCGTGTCAACTTCCTGTTTTAGTAGGTTGTCAGCATAAATCCCCAGCTCCCCAGAATAATCATGCAGCCAAGCAGCATTCTCCATACTTCCTTGAGATTCAGAAGCATCCAGCAGTAGAGGCAATGCTTCTGCATCAGACTTAGTAGACGAACTTGAATGCTCTGATATGACTGGCCTATCAAGGATATCCCTCCCTTGAGGATTAGAACTACCTATCTTTACCCTTGAGTCAGACAAGCCACAAGAAAGGCTACGTCCAGCCATGTCAAGAAATGATTTCCCTCTGTGATGGATCCTTGACCAGTTCCAAGGAATACCGCAACCATTTCTTGGAATGCCAGTAACAGTCTGATCAGCATGCTCTTTATACATCTTCTCCATTTGATATTTCTGGTGTGCTCCACCTTGAGCAAATGAATTAGAGGCCACAGATATTTCATTTTGAGCACCAGCATCTTCGCTAGCCACAGTGGCCCGAGTTCTTCTTGCACCTCGAAACTTACGCCTTTTCCCCCTATTCAGACTGCTTTTGTAGCCACCTGCAGTGGTTCCTTCCGCTCCATCATTCTTTTCAATTTGAGCATTTTTTCCATTGCCATGGTTACAGGAGGAGGCCGCATCATCGTTTTCTGCATGGAACTCATTTAATTGGTCAGAAAGGGTCTTCGGGTGTACATCTTGTCTATTTCTTCCACTATGTTTAATATTTTTGTCTCTTGAATCTGAGTTTCCAGAAACACGGTCATGTGCTATGTCATTACTGTCTCGTAGATGTTCATGACTCCAGCCAATGACATCATTTCCCAGAAATCTTCTACTCGACTCTTCTCTTTCACCTCTTCTACGTTCCCGAGTAACACTTTTGCTACTGTGGTTGCTCACAGCTGGAACTGCCCGATCATTATGCCTGCTTACCTCACGAATAGATTGGCCTGCTATTGGAGGTGAGCTTACTTCAATCCCGCTACCATCTCTTGGACGATCTATGCCTACGGACCGTCTTCCATTGACCATGGCCTCCTTTTCACCTGTTCTGAGAAGCGCATCAACAGTAGGAGAACGCCATGAAGGCGGACTTGTGGACGGATCCCTCAAAGACCTTGACCTCTGAAGGACAACGAGGTCCCTCATAAGGGCCCTATCAGCCAAAATGGGGCTATGCTTGTGCATATGGTTCTTCAAATGAATGCAATTCGTCAAATGAATGTGATTTCTCAGATGATCACTAATGTTACCATTCACATCCTTAAGTATCCGATCGCGAACAGCCCTGGTCATGATCAGCACATGAACCGATCCAATAACCGAAATACTCTTGAATTAAGCCAAGATATAAGGAAATGATGCATGCCCTTAGTTTACAAAGGTCCGAGATCTTCTAGTTATTGCATAAAGAAATCTACGCAACCCAATTACAATGCTCAAGTGCAAGCCGCTGAATTTTCCAATATGAAGCACCCACCAACGTAACACACCACACTTGCAACGAAAATCAGCCTCAGGTCCAATGAGGACACTCATAAACCCCACCAAGAACAAATCCTTCCAAACAGATCATGTGCCACCCACAGTTGAACATAAACAGAAAACAGAGCAATAACCGAATCCCATTCAGATTACACCATAAAAATCCAATCTTTACAGTCAAAAACTCAAGCAACTTACACTAGTTCAAAAACTGAGACTGAGTAAGAATTTAAATAGTAAATCTCCAGTTCTTTTGAATTGAGCTAATAAAAAGACTGCATTCACTCTCACTCTTTAGCTTTGTGGACTACAACTAAAAGCGCTATAAAAATTTCACAATAACAGGGAAGTACAATTCAAAAGGCAGAGATTTAAAGAGCATAACTTCGAAAGGAGTAGAAGCAAAAAAGGACTCAAAAGAACACTACCTTCACCTGAATCATAGAGTTAGAAGCAACTACTTTGTAAAGGATTCGTAGGCAAGTGACCCGTTGCCATCATTAAGCATATCTTTCTCTCTCTAACTCTCACTGTCTCAGATCCCTTTCTCCATACTTTCACATGAATTTCACCAGGGGTTCTTTCAAGAAAACGATAGACGACACCGCATATGCCATGTATATTATATATAAAATACTGTGTGTTTTTTGTTTATGGCTTTACTAGGAAAGAGTATAGAAATTAAGACAATTAGTCGAATGCTGTGGAGATTTGAATTGGTATTACTGGTCGTCTTGCTTACAGGTGAGATTCGGAGTGATGTTAGAGAAGGGTTAAAGAGAAAACAGTATAAACGTCACATGTAAGTATAGTGTATATATATGTAGAGAGAGAAATCGTGAGTTGGGGTTGGTGTGGGGTACTGCTGCATCGGCTACACAGCAAGAAAAAAGAGTGGAGTCCATAAGTCCATTTGCTTTCCCTTATTAATCAAAATAAGTAATATCCACTTATCCAATATCATTTTTTTCTATTTACAAATTAAGCAATTTATACACGTTTATTTTTATTTACACATTTCATGACATTCATAAGCCTCTGTTTGTCTACCATTATTCCCAAAAGTTATTTGCTACAATAAAATTCTCCACCGCACATTTACTCAATAAAATATTCTACACACAAATTAATAAAATTATTTTAAATTTCAATCACACATTCTCAAAAAAAAAAAAAAAAACTATTCATTACTCTATTTTTCTCCCAATAATAGAAGACAAACACACCCTCAGTATTATTTACTTATTTGATAACTCATTTCTATTGATTTATAAGTTAAATCATTTTTAAATGCTTGCCAAACATATTCTAATTTTCATCAAAAATAAAAAAAAATTAGCATCATCTGATATTTTAGCCCTCGTTCGATCCCCAATTTTTTAAAATACATTTTTCTTTTNAGCCCTCGTTCGATCCCCAATTTTTTAAAATACATTTTTCTTTTTTTTTCCAACAACGCGTTCTTTAATAAAATAATATTATACACAATCCATAAAAAAATTTCCTTCATTTTTAACCATACATTCTTCATCAATCTACTATTTTAAAATGTACTATACACAAAAAATGAAGCTCAAACATGCCATTAATTTCATGATTTGGGCTGTTTCAAGTTTAATTCTTTTTTTTTTTTTTAACATAAATTCTAATCGTAAAGAATATTGAAAATTATAAAGCGGGAGCAAAATTCAAATAACATCCATAGAAAATTTTGAGATTTTTCAACGACAATTTGATATATTAATGAACGTCCGTTAACTAAAAATATGACTATGGTTAAGTGACGGTTGTGTTTCGTTAGCTACACATCCTTAGATGCATAATTTAATCCACGAAAAGTAAGAAATTTCACATATTTTCACCAACTCAATGTGAAAAATGGGATTGCTCCTTCGACAAATTTTGGCCTAGGTCTTAATTCATTAGATATGTTAGATTTAAAGAAAAACTCCAAATGATTATTGAACAGTATGAAATAAGAAAATATTTAAAACGTCATATAAAGACGATATCTCTTGGCTTAATCAAAAAATCTTATGTCCTTCAAAACACACATCATCGCTCAAAAGAATTCTACAAATTAAGATCTTGTTTGAGCCACATTATTATTTTATTTTCATTCTTCTACTCATTTTTAACCACACATTTTTCAATAAAATAATATTTTTCATTATAACTTTTCCTTCTTTTTCAATTATATATTTTCAAGCACATTAACAGTAAAAATGCATATTTTTGAAAAAAAAATATGCACTAAAGGGAGGCTTAGTTTTGAAATTTTTTGAATTTTATCCCCCGAAAGGTCCGTTGAATTCAAGATAGTGATACCACTGAATAAGGACAAAGGTTAGTGGGCAGATGGGAAATTTGTGCAGCACTGTAGGAGGATTCTACTCCAAGTGTACAAACTTGCCAGTAAAATTATTGAAGGGGTATTTTCGTACATATCAATGTAGTAGAGCTGGCATGCAAATATGTAAACAAAAATTTAAATGAAATAAACAAATTGTAAAACCTAATTAATTAAAGACAAAAATACTCAAAATGATTTAATATGTAAGAAAGTAATTACAATTTATTGTTAAGCCCCCATTTGTTTCCCATTTTCTGTCAACAAAAATGAATTTTTGTAACGTTTGTTTCAAACTTTTTGGAGACATTGCAAGAGAAAATTGTCAAAAAAAAAACGGCTGCACCTGTTTGTAACGGTAGGAAAATGCATTAAATTGAGATGAAAATTGGAAACAAACATAGGCTAATAAAACCTATTGAAAAGAAGAATAAGGTTCGATTTTGAGAGTTTTTAAATATATTTGGCCATGTCCAGCCAATAAAGTAATTAATTCATTTATTTTTAATTTTCAAGATCTCAATAAAGAAATCATTACATCAAAGGATAAAATTTAAAAAAAAATAAAAAAATTCCAATAGAGAGTGCCAGAGTATCCAAGATAATCAATTGGGTCCAAGGTCACGACTCACGTGTGTGATTTGACTGACCAATGATGGCCGATATACTTCTGATTATTATTAATTAGTCTTGGGGAAAGGCTAAGGAGTGTTAATGCCCTTTCTTACTAGGATTAGCAATGTCTCAAAATGTTCTTTAATATAAGAAAAATGTTATTCATCACAGTGGGAATATATCCCCAATCTATGTGGATGTAAATGATTGGTTAAATGATAGGTGAAATTAAATGACTTATTTAATTTCACTTATCATTTAATGTCATATTAACGCTACATAGACTGGGGATGCATCCCCATTGGAAATGAATAGCATTTCTCTATAAGAAAAATGGTGTGTTTGTAAACACACCTAAGCGTTGTCCATATTGTTTCAACTTTCAAGACAGAGATGTTTCATTTGTCAAAATAATTTGACCGATTAAGTAGCAATCAATTGATACTTATCGTTCATCGAAGCTGAGTTCTTGTTTGGAAGCAATTTTCAGCAAATTTTAATCAAAGTTTGTATCGTTATATGGTAAAAAGCAGCTGCATTTATTGACCAGTAACTACAGAATTACCTATATACCCTTTTGACATTTAATTTATTTTATTAGAGAGGAGCATGTACAGTAATTTGCATCTTTTTGAGTTAATAATGACAACGACATAGGGACCCACCTGCATTTTCAATGGTTGAAATTTTGCTTAAAATTCGTGAGAATTCCACCTAGGGATGAACATTTTTTCCCAGAATCGGTGGAATCGAACCGAACCAAATAGAACCGATCGGTTCGATTTCAGTTCCTCTATTAAATGGGTTGATCTTGGGACAATGCATCGAGAATCGATCGATTCCGGTCCAATTCTTGGTACTACCTTGAAAATCAGTAGTGGATTCGGTTCTTCCAAATTTCTCTTTTTGCTTGCACTAAAATACACTATATCTTTGAGTACTAGACCCCAAAATTATTCTCACGTTAAAATTTCATTTTTGTATATGCTTCTTCTTCTTTCCTTTAATGGTAATCGAAATTCATATTTTATTTTTAATGTTAGATTAAAGAATGACAAGTGATTTCATATTTTATTTTTGTCTATTTTCAATTGACAAGTAGTTTCACACTTTATTTTTATAATTTTTCAATATAAAGGATCGGACAGGACAGAGTCGGAACCGATTGGTTCGATTCCGATTTGGTTCTTTAGTGAGATATGGAACCAATGGTTCCATTTCTAAAATTTACATTAGTACTCAGTCCAATTCTAAAGCGATTCGGTTTCCTTGAGAACTTGACCGAGCCAAACCACGTCCACACTTAATTCCACCAAGTCATGAGCTAAATATGAAACCTAAATTCATTGTTCATCGTTCTCCAAGGCACTTTCGTCTTTAAGAAAAAAATTTAGTTTATGTAAATTTGTCATGCCAAATATTTTCGTTCATGTTATGGTTCATCTATTTAATTAGTCCATGTTTGATGGTCATTATTTTGAGAAAATAAAGTTTTAAATAGTAATTTTTTGAAAAATATGTAATTAAAAATAGGAAAAAATTTTAAATTTATATGTAAAATATATTATTGTGTAAATATATCATTAAAAATGAGTACAATTTTGAAATGATCGTCAAAATAACATGTTGGACGATGACTTTGTTTCATTTGACAATTAAAAAAATTGAAGATGGACAAGACCACGTTTTTTTGTCGTTTAGTCCCTTGGCGTTTTCTTTCCTACCAAACAGGCCCTTAATTTATTTTATTAGAGAGGAGCATGTACAGTATTTTGCATCTTTTTGAGTTAATAATGACAACGACATAGGGACCCACGTACATTTTCAATGGTTGAAATTTTGCTTAAAATTCGTGAGAATTCCACCTAGGGATGAACATTTTTTCCCGGAATCGGTGGAATCGAACCGAACCGAACCGAACCAAATAGAACCTATCGGTTCGGTTTCAATTCATATATTAAATGGGTCGATCTTGGGACAATGCATCGAGAATTGATCGATTCTGGTCCAATTCTTGGTACTACCTTGAAAATTAATAGTGGATTCGGTTCTTCCAAATTTCTCTTTTTGCTTGCACTAAAATACACTATATCTTTGAGTACTAGACCCCAAAATTATTCTCACGTTAAAATTTCATTTTTGTATATGCTTCTTCTTCTTTCCTTCAATGGTAATCAAAATTCATATTTTATTTTTAATGTTTGATTAAAGAATGACAAGTGATTTCATATTTTATTGTTGTCTATTTTCAATTAACAAGTAGTTTCATACTTTATTTTTATAATTTTTCAATATAAAGGATTGGACAGGACAGAGTCAGAACCGATTGGTTTGATTCCGATTTGGTTCTTTAGTGAGATATGGAACCAATGGTTCCATTTCTAAAATTTACATTAGTACTCAGTCTGATTCTAAAGCGATTCGGTTTCCTTCAGAACTTGACCGAACCAACCCACGTCCACTCTCGATTCCACCAAGTCATGAGCTAAATATGAAACTTAAATTCATTGTTCATCGTTCTCCATGGCACTTTCGTCTTTAAGAAAAAAATTTAGTTTATGTAAATTTGTCATGCCAAATATTTTCGTTCATGTTATGGTTCATCTATTTAATTAGTCCATGTTTGATGGCCATTATTTTGAGAAAATAAAGTTTTAAATAATAATTTTTTGAAAAATGTGTAATTAAAAATAGGAAAAAAATTTAAATTTATATGTAAAATATATTATTGTGTAAATATATCATTTTTGAGTACAATTTTGAAATGATCGTCAAAATAACATGTTGGACGATGACTTTGTTTCATTTGACAATTAAAAAAATTGAAGATGGACAAGACCACGTTTTTTTGTCGTTTAGTCCCTTGGCGTTTTCTTTACTTTTTTTTTTCCCATTATTATAGAAAAATGGATAGTTACATAAGTAAAAGAAAAAAGGTCGAATAATTTAATTAGAAATTACTCCCAGAGTTTCAAAAGCCTACAAGTAATCAATCACAGACTTAAACTGAAAAATAAATAATTACTACCTGAAAAGAAGCGCATAACAACTTACATGGGCAAATGCACGAGGTTTAGCCATTCAACACCTATCACCACAGGACAGGACAGGTGAAAAACTCCAAGGTATCATTTCAATGGATGCGACGCTTAAGAGGAAAAATACAAAAACTCCTCCATTTATTATATTTGTACAAAAGGGCCTCTAGTTAATAATATGCTAAATTCTTAGTACTTTAGTTGCTGTTGGACGTCGACAAGACAATACATACTGCTCTTAACAGATTAAATTCTCAGTATTAAGTTATAATGAAAAATAAATTAGAAGTATATTAATATTTATAAAAAATAAAAATAAAAATTAACAGTCGAGTGTGACACGAGTGCAAGAAACTTAAGCTCGGAGGACCCCAACGTCAAGAAACAAAAGTTAGACAGACCCAAATACTACAATATCCATAACTCCTAGACATTAACCACAATTATCCCTAAAATTAAAGATAATGAAGTTCATTAATTATTGCGAAGTGTTGAGTTTCGAAACTAAAATATAATGATAGCAGCAGTTCTTGACCTTTGTTAAAGATTCCATACTCCATAGACCTATAAAAGCAGTGGAGAGCATCATACTCAAAACATTGAAAAGTTCGTGCATGTCTAGTTCCAAAGAGGCAATATCTTGGATGCATGTACCAGGATTTACTTCTACTGTAATAAAATATTATTTTTTGGGAATAGTACCTCTTAGTTCTTAAGTCTGTTTAAAGCAAACTACTGGCACGAATCTTTGCGGCCGCCGTCCCTTACATCTTACCTAGCTTAAGCCATGGAAAATTAGGGATTGTGCAATGCTACTAATTAATTTGAACCAGTCAAGCTATCTTTAAATGATAAATCATCTTAAACTAATGCTTAATGAGATTGGTACTAAATACCATTACTCTTTATACCTATCGTGCATAGACCTGTAAATCAAGCCATGTCAAATTTTCAGGCATCTGTAGCATGTACGATGAAGGAAGAGTAGTATGAGGTAGCCTATAAAAGAGGCAGAATCGAATGATTACCAGATGTGATTAACTCCATACAAAGTGTACTTAACCCAAGTATTGACACGCCTATACTTAGCAAAAACCTTGTTCATGGATGTCCATTTGGACAAAAACAGGTACTACATGACCTGCTCTTTTGTACTTGGAAAAGACCTCAATGTGTATTCATCGACAAGAAACGGACTGCTGCAATTTCCTATCATGGGAAAGAGCTTACTATGGATAGAGAACGAGGAAACTGAAGCAAAATGGGATGAACCTGGAAACAGAATGACATCAGTAATTTACAGATTTACAATCTCGGTAAAGAACTCTTTTCAACTGTCGCGGATCAAGTTAGCTGGTTCACTCAAAACGTACTTAGGTAACTCGTACTTCGCACCTGCAATGAATTATCGGGTCAACATAATGAAAAACTTGAAAGACGTTGATTAGAAGAGCACAAATTAGAATGCGAACCTCTCTCATCGTAGCAGACAGTTAGGTCGGGGTTCTGAACAATTACACCAGCACTTTCCACAATTGCTTGTGCGAGAGTTATATCAGCCTCAGCAGCTGCCCGAAGTGCATCCCAAATCTCTGATAATAACAAAAATATTTGTAGTTCACACATTGGTTTCTATCAGAAGCTTTACTTCACAAAATTCCCATTTGCATACTGAAATGCAAGGAAAAGCCCAAAAAATCATTAACTGCTGGAGAAGCAATATTAGTTTCTTCCCCTGAATATGCCGAACATGGCAAGGTATCTCAAAAAACTCTACTACAAAAACAGCAGAGAAAATGAAGTGGGAAATAAAGCCCCCAACCAAGAGCACGGTAGGGTATAAAGAAAATAAATTTACTTGCAATAAAGGTGAGCAAATTACCTACGAGAACAATGAAACAAATTTTAAACTTCACTATAACAGCCTGTAGCTTAACTAAGATAACTGAATCTCAATAATTGCCAACTTGGTTTGACTGGCAGTATATAGGCATCACGACAAGAATCCATCGTCCAGAATCAAACAATCACAGAAAAACCCATTAGTTAAAAAAATATATGGACAAATGTTTATGTGAAAAACTCCAGTTGTCCAACCCGAACCTAAACAGTGATTATCATGTTCTCAACTCAGTACTTCTTTTAAACAAAATGCCCTTTTCAGGCATGAATTTCAAGTATGAAAGAATTCTATATACTGTGCTAAGATAGTCTCTACGCGAATGCATAAATTGACTTCCAACACCCAGAGCATATGCTATATCTGGTACTATGCGATAAGTAAATCAACTTTCCAACTAGCTTTGGCACATACCTCAGTCTGCAATTGCCTCCTCATTAACATCACCAAGTTTGTGATTTTATTCTATAGGAGTGTCAATCAACGTACATCCTAGCATCCCGGTTTCATTTAGTTGATCAAGAACATATTTCTATTGTGATATAAAATATCACTCTTCGAATGAGCCACTTCTATACCCAAGAAATACTTTAGTCTCCCAAGGTCCTTTATTTCAAACTCTGCAGCTTGGTTATTTTAGCAATACTATTTCCTTCAAATCATCTCCCATAACAATTATGTCATCTACATTAGACAATTAGAATAGTAACCTTTCCAGATGTTGAGTGCTTAACAAAGAGAGTATGATCTGTCTAGCTTTGTCGATACTTCATCTCGACCATAGCAATAGTGAACCTGCCAACCCATGCTCTAGTAGATTGCTTGAGTCCATATAGAGCCTTTTTTTGGCTTGCGCAACCTATTGTTACATTCTCAAATCGAATTGGATTTTTCTACATGTTGTGAAAGATGATTAAACTTGCAGTAACTTGACCTCAATTTTCTTATGAAACCTGATAACAGCATTATTCATGAGATTAGTAAGTTTGCTAATGTCCTAATACTAAACTGCTGTTAGTTATATGATGGAACCTGTTGGTTTTTATAGTAGGATGTAACTTGCTGCTGTTATTTGAAGTTAAATGGAACTTGTTGCTTTTGCTGGATGGAACTTGCTCCTTTTGCTAATAGGATCTGTCAATGTTGATTTGTTATGATACTTAGAAGCGAAAGTATTGAACTTTGGCTTGTAATATTTTGTTTTGTCAATGACGTATTATTTTGGCTTGTATGCAACCAATGTTTTTAACTCAAAATTCTAGAGGATATATATGTTTGAACTCGAATGGAATGTACTAATTTTAATTCGTTGGTGAACCGTGGTTTGAAACGGCACCAGACCATAAAAAAGTGGTTTGGTTTGGTTTGGTTTAGGAGATGAAATAATTTGGTTTGGAAGTTGGCCAAAAATCACTAAAACTGAACCGTGTCGACCCCTATACATAGTTAATCACACTTCAGAAAGTTCACCTTTTCGACCACCATAATGTGGAGCAGTGTCCCAAAACTCATCTCGCATCCGTATGAGTTCTATCCTTGTTATGGGTTCTGAATGCTTCCATGGCATGGGCTTGCGTATCTTCTTTGCTGTTTCTGCAAACAAATTTGCAAAGAAATGACTACAAAGAACTACAACTCTTTGAGAAAATACTGAAGCTACCAACCAAAATGCAAGCAGTGTCAGGGAGGTCAAACAAATCTATTATACGCTATATTAAATAGCTCTAACAAGTAATGATTATGGAGGAGTATAATAACATACAGTCAAAAATGAAAAAAAAAAAAACAGAAGTCAAATTCTTCTTTCACAATGTATCCAACTAGGATAAGTTCAAGAGCGTCATTAATGGCTTCTGCTTTTCAATCTTTGACCCGATTTACCATGCTTATTTATCTTTTAATTATACTCCTTTTTCCAGGAAAACTTCTACTCTCCCACCACTTGCATAGTATTAGATATATACTTTTAGTTTGAGACTTTTATAATAAGAATAACAATGACCATGCTTCAAGGTTAGAACTCAGTTTTCCAGGTATTAGTTTTAAGGGATACTTGATTTGATGAAGCTGGTTCTCAGTCCTCCAAGAGGAATTTTTGGCCGCATTCAAACAATAAATCAAATACACATATCCACTTCTATTAGGGTAATGTACAGGTCAAGATGAAAAAGCAAGAGGTGACAACTAGGATAAGGAGTGCATGAATTGGCTCCTGATCCATAGACTAGGCTCTTGCCATAATATTAACTATTCTAAACTATAACCCAAACTTTCGGTGTTTTTATCAACGAATTACTAGAATATACTGTGCAGATTCATCTTCATTTCACTCTCATTCAGAAACATAAAATATGTCTCAAAGTCAATGAAGTCCATGGTCATGTTAACCAAAACTACCTAGCTTCGGCACTTATTTCTAATCATTTCAAGGTAAGTTTTTATCTCTTGCATACAGAATATGCAAGTAATATGTTAGCACATGCGTAAATTAGCGCAATACACATCTGCGAATATTTATCATCGCAGCAAGTAGGATATTGTACCCCAGATATAACGATTATATCTGAACTAAATAGGTGCATATCCACCAATAGTTTTTCACATATAGAAAATAGATTTTGTAAGTACGATTCTTCAGACAATAAAGCTAAAACAAGACATTAGTACACAGACTATCAAACTGTTAGCATAGGGATACATATAAGATTAAAGGAGACAAGCTTAGGCAAGATCTGGCAAGCTATTGGACATCCAAAAACGATTATCAAAGTCCAGCGTCACTTTTTGGTTGCATATTAGCATAAGTAGAAGTGCTATTGAACTTAAATAAACAAACATCTGGTACAGGTATTATATATCCTCAAAATAAATTCATCAATCTCATATTATGAATAAGTTGTAACAAAATGATGAAAATGAATATTCTCAAATAAGTAAAATATTAGCATTTCAATTCATCCAATGTCTACTAAGCTGGTAAACTGATAGTATGGCCATTTTAATTTGAGTAAACGGTTCATTATAGTGTCATCACATTAAAAGTACCACTGAAACGAAAATCACTTGGACATATAAGAGTAAATGATACTCTGTTGAATAGGCTTCAACTGCTGAATCAAAATGCTAAATGAAACACAAAAACATTTAGTTCCTCATAATTTGAATATAACAAGGCAGTTCCAAATAATTCAGCTGAAAGCAGATATCCCAGTTGTAATCAATCCTCCTGCCAGTACTAATTCAAATGCCTCAACAGAAGTTGTCTAACATAGCTCAAATAGATTACCCTCTGGTCACAAAAAGAAAAAAAAAATGATTCTGACAAATAAAATTCTTGCAATGTGGTAAGTTTTCTATGTGAATGAACCACATTTTGTACTATGTTCTCTTGGCAATTCACCGCAGGCCAAAATTCCAGCAATTTCTTGTGAAGTTTTCATCAGTAAATTATGCACAGAAATAAGGGGGCAAATAAACAAGTTCATCTAATAAACATCTATAAGCCTCAAGATTTAATATAACAACACAGAAAGGCAAGCAGATCAAGAACAAGAACAAAGCAGATCAAGAACAAGAACAACATCCACCAATTGTACGCGACAAGAACAGAGAGCAGAAAATTTTCGTCGAATTCTCACAGTTCACAACCAAAATTATTCAAAACCCACAATCAAATAGTCCAATAAGTAAAAATAACAATAAAAGTTTCTTAAAACATAAAATTTCAAGAAAATATCAAACATCGATCAGAATTTCAAAAAATAACTACAAGTAAAAGAGTACCATCTGCTTTATCGTGCGATCCAGCGCAACCCATGCTATGTTTTCACTCGCGGTCGAAACTTTCTTCCTAAAATTTCCACTCCCTGCAGTTCAATTGAAATACAAACACTATCTACTTGTATTAATGTGGAAGAAGAGAGTCAAATTCAATTTTATCTTGAGTTTTTTATTCTATTGAAAAAGAGTTGATGCATGAATACAGCTATCTCTCGCTTTTCGAAGACAGCTATATGCTTGAATATTCTTTTCGTTATTGTAAATGAATTTTCGTGCTCCCGGGGATCCTGTTTCATTAGAGAGAGCGAGAGCAGTAGTAAACTCTGTTTCAACCCACAGTAAACATATGCGACTCGAGGGGGACGTTTTTCCTTCGAAAACGGTGAAGGAAAAAAATATTAAAAACGATATAAAATCAAAATTTTGAAATGAAATTAATTTTCAAACATTGTTTCTTTTATTCGACGGTATTCAAAAAATAAATATATTATTTTTAAGCGTGTATATTTCATGATGAAGGCTTGGGATAGATTTTTTGGAATTCTTAATTTTTTAATTATTTTTTAATCATCTATTTTATATATTTAAAAAAATTATTACTTGAAAAAAATTATTTTGAACAAATGCTAAGGATCTGTTTGATTGGAAATTTTTTCATGGAAATTGACATTTTAATCATGTAAATTCTACTTTTGAGAGTTTTTTATTGCCCCTTTTTTCACGAAAAATATTTTTCGATCTTTGAAAATATATTTAGTTTTCCTTAGTTTTGAGGTAATATAATTTTATTTTCCTCAAAATAAGAAAAATGTTTTCTTTTTAGGAGACATTTTTCATATCAATTAAATACACCATTAGTGTTCGATAAATAAATACTTGTAAATGAAACTATTAATTTATTGAAAAATATATAGTTCATGTAGTTAACAATTATATTTTAATAAAAGTTGATCAAATGTATGATTGTAAAGTCGATAAAAGTTTGAAATCCTATAATATGCAATTAAAATTAATCGTTGACTTTGACTTGATTTTTTTTAACTTTTTAAGCTACACTAAACATTAGTATATTATACGGACTTGTTTGAGCCCCATTTTTGTCATAAAATGCATTTTTGAATAATGTATTGATGGGAAATGTGTAATTAAAAAATAAGAAAAAAATTGAATTTGTATGTAATATTATTTTATTGAAAAATGTTAATTGAAATGAAATCAAAATACAATCCAATAACGCTTTTTTTTTCCCCGAAAAATGGGGCTGAAGTAAAGGTTTTTTTCCTACTTTTTAATCACTCGTTCGCCAAAAATACTATTCAAAATTCTTTTTACAAAAATAAAAATAAAAAAGTGATCGCTTAAAAAAAATATAAATTATTTCTTTCACACCATTTTTTTGTTAGCTGCATCACATTTTAATTGTAATGAAAAATTCTTAATTTTTGCTTCTTTTTACAGTTATGTCTCCAACTTCCAACTTTTTTCATTGCATTTTTATTATTTAAAAAAAAAAAAAAACTTTTTGTTAAGGATGACCATTTTCATATAAAAAAAAACCCGTTTAAGGAAGTAAAAGAACGGCACCTAAAATTTTGTGTTTCCATGCACGCGTCTGCATTGAAGAGTTCTGTGTAGGTATTTCATATGACATTGTAGGTACTTCAAGAAGGTGAGATGGTGAAACTAAAAGTGCTTCTGTTCTGTGTAGGTATTTCATTGAAGAGTTCTTGAAATTATGTTTCTGGTACAGTACCTAAGTTTCTTTGTAGACTTCATTTCACCGTAAACACTTTGATGAAGCTGGTGTTCATAGACACCTTTAGGCATTATTTTCTGGTTGGAGCAAGGTTTTTCTTGGCACTTGTAGTTCATGAAAAATTCACATTTCAATCGAAAAGTTGACGATCTGACTGGACAATATGTTTTCTTTCTTGGGTAATTTGACGTTCTTTTATTTCAGTTATTTTACAATAATTTCATTGAGTTTTCCCTAATAATTCAATTGGGATCAATCAATGAAAAACCTCCCCTAATTGGAGCAGATAGGCATAAACTATCCCAGAAATATAGAGTACAGACTTCTGCTGAAGTTTAGATGAGACTCCCATGTACGGAAGCTCAAACCTCTGCTTGATATAGGCGCAACGTCCGTGTCCATATGACATGTTACACATGAACACCTAGCAAACATTTATAATTTCATTTAGGTACAAATACGAAATTTCAAGTTTAGATGAAGATCGTGTACGAATTATTCTACTCTAGAAGGTGATTATAAGAGAGGAGCACAGTGCGAGTAGAGAACACTTACAAGGTATATTGTCAAATTCCCCCAAGTTGTGTGAGATATTTAGAACAAATTGGAGTTGGACCGATAAACAAGATCGTGTGTTTTGCATGAAATGTAGCGTCAATGCCAGTAAGGTTTGACATTTTCAATTACAGTTCAGTGTTTGCTAGTTGCCTCCAACTAAGAGTGGAGGCCTAGAGGCTAGAATGAATTATACATGATTCAGTCTTTTTCATGATCAGTTTCCTTGGTCAAGCTGCCGAAAATTATTAACCACCATGTACAAGGGAATATTTCCCTAAACTTTGAACTCTCGTCCATCCGACTCCATCGTCCATTTACAACCCTTTGAAGGAATTACTTATACCGAAAGCATGAGCCTGCTAACAGGATTTGGTGGTTTAAGTTTGGTCATTTTGGGGTCGCCTGACCTAGGAAGATGGCACTTCGTAATGGCTTGTCTGGGGTCCAGCGGCTCTTGGTAATTTTATTAGGCTGCTCGTCCAAGAAAATGAGACCCAACACAGATCATAGGCTTGGTCCAGGTTACCTTTAAGCACCTAATTGGGAGCACCAACACAGCCAGACAGCCTCAATGGATGGTCCATTGATCTTTCAGATCATGTAGGCCACTTGAGTAGGCCCTGGTGCTGAGCTCAATCATAGCCGTTGGATTATTCTCTCTGAAATGACGTTTATGCGCGAATAAGGCTTAAAAACAAGTGGAGGAGAGCAGGAATAGTACGAGTATAGTACCACCAAAAGTAGCAAAGTGCATGCATTTTTCAGTGAAAGTCTTGCTTTCTTATCACACCATTATTTGAACCCTTTTTTTTCCATTCATTTGTCTCTTGTAAATGGTCACAGGAGAACAGAGAATCCACTGAAAAGATCTAGTCGAAATGAAAGCTTCAGAGACTCACAGCAATTCCCACTGTGGGCTTTGGATTCCCCATCCAGTGCTACCATATTCAAAAAAGTAATTCGTGCTATTTATCTAATTGATTCTGATATCTTATTTGTTTCACAATGCAATTTGTGATTACACTGGCTAAGGTTTTTCTTTCTAAACAGAATGTCATGAACCAAAGGTTAAATTTTTAATTGAGACTATTCAACCTAATCTCAGAGCACATGAAAATCTTAAATTCAATTATCTTTATTGTTTAAACCTCAAGTGAGAAAATTTTGTTTAGAAGAAAGTGAAAAGGAATGGCCAATGGGAGTGTGCGGAAGTTGGAGTGGGTAAATGTTGATGGGTCAGTTCAAGATATGGATGATGTCAGTTGTCTATGGAAATGAAAGGGAAAGATACTTTTTAAGGAAGAGTGGAGAGGGATTTTAACCGGAAATTTAGGAGGACAAAATCGAGTTTGAATGCATGCAATTGTGAATTATCTACACAGCGAAGGCGAGGCACCGTTCAACTCCGTCGTTGCCCTCCCCTCTCTTCGTTGATCACCGAGATTGCATATTTGAATTAGCTTCATTGGAGATTGTATTGCTATTTTATATGTAACTTCAAAGCAATACAAGTAGGGTGTTTCGTGGATAATAGAGTATCCACACACTGAAACAGAGCCGAATAGTCGTTATTGTATTACAATGTAATTTCATTATATTGGAGAATTTAGACATACGATAGATGTTAGCGACAGAGTAACTTGCAAAATTATAATTTAGGTTTGCAGCACTTGGGATTATGAAGGTACAACCCTGGGGAAGATAGGAGCAGATTTTGGACGTTAATTATAGCTTTTTGCAAAAGACGTAATATAAATCAACTTTTGCTTGACGCACAATCAAAATATATACCAAATTAGAGCAGTATAGCAGAAGCTGAATACAATTGTTGTCATTCTTACCTTAAACTTTATTTAATTAATGTACTAAACATAAGTAATTAAATATTAATGTAATTCAAGTGGCCAATTGGTCATGGCACACACAGATTTTTTTTAATTTTTAATTTTTTGGCTACTTTTAGAGCTGGATGAAATAAACATTGATTGAGAACCATAATTTGCGGATGACAATGACTTGCAATAATGAATGTTTATAGCATCATCTTCTTGGAAATTGGCCTCGAGAAACCTACTTCACACTTGGCATTAGTCATAGCTAACTTTTTAAAAATTAAAAATAAAAAAACTTGAATCCCATAATAATGACAAAATAAACTTAAACAAGCTACTTTTCTATAAAGTAATGTAGTGTTAATAAAGTAGATGAAAATGGATAGGTTAGAAGCTAATGTTATATTTCTAATAATCATGATAGGGTGTCAGAAAGAATTTTACACACTAGACGACATACAAACAGTTGGGGTGGGTGGGGGGATTTTTTTACATTTTATATTCACGTGGGTCACATGCGGGGCCCATGCACATGTGAGAGTAGATCATTCAAGATGTCAAATTCTTTTTGATAACATAGCTTAATTCTATTTCTAATGGCTCACAATCTAGTTGTTTTGTTTATCGTGTATGATTAGTACTATAATTTTTCTATCTCGATCTTTTTTTTTATCTCAGTTGAATTTCTCAAACTCGATAATATGAGAGTCGACTCCAATTATAATTAGAGGTATATAGCTTCTCTTTTCTACCTAATTAATCTTCATGACTCTTACTCATTTTCTAGATCTATATCTATACTTTAGTAACCATGTTTGCGATCATTTATCTTGATATATAATTTCGAATACTAGAAATTGAATAGTCTACTCCCATATCAGTTTTCGTGGTCATCAAGTTAGATAGTACATGATACCGTAACCATGTCTATATTGACAACAAATGGATGAAAAAAGAATTACAGACAAGTATTATGAAGATGTGTCTCATGTTGGTTGGGCTGCAGGGATGGGGGAATTTTGTGCGATATTCTTGAATCAATGAGAGGAAAACTCGGGGATGTCTATTAATCGAGATAATTATCTCTGCATTTTAACTCAAAATTCATTGAATAAAAAGAAAACACATAATCCGGAAAATAGCAAGAAGAAGACGGATATGGACCATTTTTTCTGACAAATAAAAAATGTTCGGATGGACCATTTAATAATTTGAATTCATTCACTCATCAGCATTCAATCATTTTTTGTATGGCAATACTGCATCACTTTATTGCATGACATGTCACCGTCGACCATCCATCTGATGGTGGTTCATTGTTTAAAATTTCCATATAAAAGAAGGAAAGAGCCATGAGTTCTAACGAAGTAACGATGTCGACGTGATCACAGATGAATGTTTTTTTTTCTCTTTTCATCTTCCAATCAATTTCCGTCATGTATTGTTTGTCAAATTTTTCTGTCGTAATTTTCTGTACAATTATATATTTTCGAGCACCAGTTAATTAGAGCTATATAAGTATATATTCATTTTATAGAGTTGTTTTATCCAAGAAATTTTGTAACATCAGACTTTTGTTTCGTTTCAGCCGCACAAATGATACTGCCCCATTTGCAGAATTCACACTTCATAGTCAATACCTCGACATTAGGTTTTTTTGGAATGATAAATGCTTTTTTTTAATTAATTTTTCTTGCATCCATTATCTAATATTATAATTTTGAAATTGTATTTTTTCAGAGAACGTGTGGTTGAAACAAAATGAATTTTTTTTGTTTTATGTGTAATATACATATTCATATAAATGGTATGTCCAATCTAATTTGTCTAAATTAGTTTTGGTCACGGGAAGGTGTTATTAGCGCTCAGAATAATAAAAATAAAATATAAATGTCCATAGTAATAGAAATCGTATAACAAAAATGAGGTCATGGCTTTTAATTTAGCCTCACGCGAGAGACTACTCAAAGTGCAAAAGTGGACCATGTTAACTAGAGAACGATTGAAAAAGGTCAAGAAAAAGTTTAGCTTGATTTATTGGGGACGACAAAGGTAAAACACTAAAAGGCAGATTAAACGGATCGAAAAAACTCAAATTTTTCAAACAATCAAATTTACTTTACTTACACGTGAGTGCTGTGATATATTAGGACATGTTTGATAGAACTCTATTTTCCATTTTTCAAGTTATTGCATGTTTGATTGGCCAAAAATTTCAAGGAATTGATTTTCCACCCAAAAGCCTCACGTGACCCCCCTTTTCTTGCTTTTCATTGAATTGATTTTCCCACCACTTTGGTGAAAAACGATTTTTCAGATTATATTCATGAGTTAACTTATTTGATATACGTCATTTGTTTTACTTGTTAACTCGTAATTTTAAACTGAACCAAATTGAAAAAAATGGTTTGGATTGGGTTGGTTTAGAAATTGAAGTGATTTGGCTTGATTTGGAAAATTTTCAATCTGCCTTAAGTAGTTTGATTTGAAAACTTGTCACAAACCATCCAAATCAAACATTGTTCACCACTTATTACATATTGCCCTCGTTCTCCACACATTTTTCAATAAAATAATATTACACATAAATTATAAAATTTTTCCTTATATTTTTACTATACATTCTTTAAAAAATCACAATTCTAAAATATATTTATCTAACGCGCCTTAAATAATTTAAATTAAAAATTTCCTTATTTAGGCGGTGGCTCATTTTTTAGTTTAAAAGAAAAAGGACGTGATAGTTCCAATAACTCTAGAATCAAAACGAGTTGTCCCCCCACCAACTCATCATGTTCTCCGTATTTAATTTATTATTAATCTAAATCTGGAATATTTCTCCTGACGCGGTTCGAAATATAATAAACATAATTAAAACACGTTTGGTGGATTTATATCAAATTTTTAATATATCTTAATAAAAATCGATAAAATATGTGATTGAAAAATTGCGAAAATGTGTGATTAAAATTAAAATTTGAATAAAAAAAAAAGCAGGGGCTAAGTTTATTCCTTCATTATTTTCAGACAGAATCATGATACCTGGTCCATTGCATCATGGTTCTTAACTGCCAAGACAAACACGGTTACGGTAAAACAGAGTAATTATTTTGCCTCTGTTCGGGTAAGTTTTTTTGGAATTGTTACAAAAATATTCTTAGGTTACAAAAAATGTGTGGATGGTAAATGAGGAATTGTTACAAGGACGAATTTAATATTTAGCTTTGACTGAATAAAAAATGAACTTAAAATTAACCTTTCAGCTTAACTTAACACCAACTTTATAGGTATAAAATGTTTATTGATCATTTTTAATGTAAATATTTGTTCTGTATTCGTCATTTGTTTGTTCTGGTTTAAATACATGTCGATATCACGGTCTAATGATTATACTGGTTCATCATATCATAACATACTAGATATTTTAAATTTAATGAATTAAATACCCGAATTCTAACTAATATTTGATAAATTTCTTCTCCGCCATTTTTCTTTGATATTGTATCATCCTCTTCAATTTAATGCAACAATACGTACTTTGATAAGTTGATTTTGATTTTGATTTTTCTCAAGAATGATCTGTCCAACGAGATGGATTCACATTATGGGAGGTTAGAAAATGGCTACAAAGTAAAAAATATATAACGTGTAAAATCCTAATTGATAAAAAATCCAAAAATAACCTAAATATTGAATTATACTTTATAAAGAAACTTGAATTGCTATAATTTCTAACAAATGTTGTTGGTGATAGAACAAAATCTGTTGTATTTTCAAACTCCATGTCCATATTAAACCTTCAAACTACGAATAAAATAGATGAAGATACAGAGAGAGACAAGTAGGAATGAACGCGCCATCGTAGGACACTGAGCACATACAAGGAAAAATGTGGAGAATTTGAATAGAAGAAGAGTCTTAAGGGGTGAAGACTAGGGCCCGTTTGATTCTCATTATTGTAACTAAGAATGGAAAATATAGTCGTTATTGAGCCCCACACAAGATATAGACATTCAAAATTGATGACTTAATGTGATGGATAACGGTCATATTTTCATTTTTATGGATGAAAAATGAGAAACAAATGAGAACTAAGTAAAAATAAACACATGATGAACTTAAATTAAATACGTGATTCTTAGTTATACTAAATCAAATAACTTAAATGTTAATAAAAATTACACACAAGATTTATTACAATTATAATCCAAATCTGTGCAAAATTAAACTTGTCTCAAACTTCTCCTTAAGCAAAATTAAAACTTGTCTCAAATTATGTCTGTGCATATTCAGAGGTAAATAAAATACATTAACCATTTTTTCTCTCATTCCCGCGCTTTAAATCCAACTTTTATTACTTCTGCTCCCCGTCTGTCCACCTTCAACACATCATCCACTAGAGTCCAACACCTTCAACGCTTTCTTATTTTTCTTCCTCTTTTCCCCAAAACCATTTCAGACACTCTCTCTTCAGTTCATGCCCCGATCGTAAAGAAATTTCCAGTTTCAGATCAATGGATTCAATTAAACCTTGCCCACCTCCAACAGAAAGCAAGATTTCCAAAACATTCCAGAAAATTTTTAGCCTGAAAAAATCTGCAAGAAATCCTTCAAACCCTGGATTTTGCTTACTCATACCTCAAGAAAAACTCAGATGCTGTGAATCTGAAAATTTTGAGAAAGATTTCAAGGAAGAAGTTGAAGATTCTAAAAACAGAGCCGCCATGGAAGCTTTTGTTGCCAAGCTTTTTGCTACAGTTTCTGCAGTCAAAGCAGCTTACGCTGAGCTCCAAATGGCCCAGTTTCCGTATAATAATGAAGCCATACGATCTGCAGATCAAGCTGTTGTTGATGAGTTAAAAGCACTTTCAGAGCTTAAACACAATTTCGTGAAGAAAAAAATTGATTCTTCACCACCCCATGTGACACTCATGCTTGCAGAAATTCAAGAACAGCAGTCTCTTACGAAGACATACGAGATTACAATGAAGAAGATGCAGGGTGAAATCGAAAACAAGGAGGCCCAAATCTCTGTTTTCCAGCAAGAACTGCAAGACATCACTGAAAAAAACAAGTCTGTTGAGAAAATGCTCAATGCAAGTGGATCTTTTTCGATTCTTGACAACGTTAAGTTCTCTGATGTTAATCCCAAAGATTTTGTTACTGTCTTGCACTATGCATTGAGATCTGTACGCAATTTTGTCAAGTTCTTGATTAGAGAAATGGAGGCTGCGAATTGGGATGTTGAAGCAGCAGCGAATGCAATACAGCCTGAAGTTGCTTTCAACAAAAGGGATCATAATCATAAAGGTTTCGCCTTCGAATCATTTGCGTGCAAAGAAATTTTCAGTGGGTTCAATTATCCATATTTTTCAGTAAAAAATGATCAACCATTGCCCGAATCTGATGATCAACGGAGAGTTTTCTTCTTTGAGCAGTTCAAGAAGTTGAAATCAACCAGTGTTATTCATTTCCTCAAGAACAATCCACATTCTCTGTTTGGGAAATTCTTGAAATGCAAGTACCTTCAAATGGTACATCCAAAAATGGAATTCTCATTTTCCGGGAATTTGAACCAGAGAAAAATGGTGAATTCCGGTGAGTACCCCGAAACTGAGTTCTTCAAAGGATTTGCAGAAATGGGAAGAAGAATCTGGCTTTTACACTGCTTGGCATTCTCATTTAATCAGGAAGTGAGCATATTTCAGGTTAAAAAGAACTCCAGATTTTCTGAAGTGTACATGGAAAGTGTCACTGATGACATTTTCGCCGCCGGAGATGGTGATTTTCGGGTGGCATTCACAGTGGTTCCGGGTTTTAAGGTCGGTCAAATGGTGGTCCAAAGCCAGGTATATTTATTCCCGGCTAAAGTTTAAAGTTGTTCACCTATATCCACATCACGCGCTTTTCACGCTCCGGTAACGGCTCCTGACCAAGTGCGAGGGTAATGGGATCCTCTCGAAACCCCATTGATTTTGGAAAATTGCACCATAGGACCTGGCATATTATTGTCTTGGCAGGTTGGTCTCTTATCTTCAAATTGTAGCAAGTTCATTAATTAAAATTTTATTTTAATACTTGCACAATTTGCCTCCAATAACAAAAATAGTTCACAATGTCTTCAATGTCACGAGATCTTTATTAAAAAAAAAAAAAGAATCTTGGGTTGATGCCTAATATCATTTTTATCTACTTCTAAATTTAATTATATTTAAACATAATTTCATGTACACACTCAGTACTCATGTTATTATCTCCACTGTTTATAAATTTGCTAATGAAATTTGAAAGTTTTCGTAGTTTAAGACTGATTTTGGTACTTATAATGAAATATTTGGTTATTACTTGCTACTTTTTAAAGATTAGAGGCCCACTTGCTATTGAGTAAATATGTTTAGGACCAATATTGAAATTTTACTTGCACCACATCCCAATTAGAAAAGAGGAAAAGTAAGTTGGGCAGTGGGACCCATACGCGAAGGAATTGAGGCAGGATGTGAACTGGATTTTTGGAGCATAGCAGTAGATACGGTGGATGGAATAGGCGGACATATGGGGTGGGGACAAGCGGCGTATGGCTTTGTTCTTTGGTGAAGAAAAAGGAGGGACTGTGGGCCCTTTTAAGGAAAATTATATTTTATTGATAGTGTCTATCTAATTTTTTTTTTAGTAATATTTTACAATTCCAATTTAGTTGGCCTTTGATGATAAACTAAACGAAATGTGGAATTAAATTATTTATTTAATTTCACTTATCATTTAGTGTCACATTAATGTCATCTAAACTGGAGTTGTAACTTCAGTAGAGTTACATAACATTATCTTTTTTTTTTTTTTAGCGAAAGTCCACAAGTTGTATGTAGTTAATTAATACCATTTTAATAATTAATGTAATTATGTTATTCAATTATTCATGTTTCTTTGTTTCTAACTTTCTGTCTTTACGCATTTATTTCATGTGACAATGTTTCCCTAGAAAGGCAAGAAGGAACCATGACTTTATTTTTAAAAAATCGACCATAATTTTTTGTCTAAAGCAGAGGGTGTATAAGGTATTGTATATTGCATGTTGTCATGTCGGCATTAAAAGAATATTGAAATTTGTAAGTGAAGCTAGGACTGTAAATGGGGAAAATGATCGATTACACTTAATCTGAAAAATAATTTTTAAAGTCCTAACAAACGGACCCATAGAATTGTAATCGAGGGGGTTTCATAATTGAGTGAAACTAGCTGGTAGAGGGTAGTTGTTAGGTTAGTTCTCATGATCGTTTATGGTGTCGCTGGGCCTGAATTGCGAACTGGTACAAAATTACACCTTTTCGGTTGGTTCGAATTTTAAAAATTGGTAGGCCTCTTAGAAAAGTGGGTTTATCAGGAAAATAACAAAGTGATTCGAATCAGTCAGGATAGATGCTAAAATCCAACTCCATGAGGAGTCATTTTCCAATAGCATTTGGCCAACACTTGCCAACACGTGAGCCTACAAAATCATTGTATTTCGCACTCTCTAAAATTAGCGCTTATTTGGTGAACAATGCTACACGTACAGGGTTTTTTCACAGAAGTTTTAAAGAATTCCACATAGCGAAGGCTGATTGGCAGATAACAAAAAAAAAAAAAAAGACTGCGAATCAAGTGCTGCGGTGGTACGAATTTTGTGAAAGAACTCTTGTACATGGAGAATTTTCCTTATTTTGTACAAATGGTATAACATTAATAGACAAGTGTAGTACAACAAAAATAGTTCAACTTATTTTTATACTTAAAGCATGCTATTAGTTGTAAAACATTCATCAGCCTGCAACTTTTGACGGGCCAAAAATGACTCTTGGTACCATCCAAACTGGTCCAATCGAGCCACATAGACTAATTTTTTTATAGAGGAAATTAACTTCCATTCAGTATAAATTAAATTTTAAATTCTAATCACGTATTTTATAGATTTTACAATTTTTTCACCCACACATTTAATCAACTTTTATTAAAATCTAATTTTAATCCTCACCAAACAGTGAATAGGCTCGGTCTTGCAATTATACTGAAACGATGAAATATCATGTATAATTTTAAAAAAGATTATTATATTTACACCATATTTTTTTAATTAAGCACTATTATCCTTAACATTTCATTAATAAATATTGTAATTAATTTTGGTTATAACATGGAAAAAAAATGCTCAGTCGTAATTTTTTTGCTTATTAAAAATACGAGGACAAATAATTTTTTACTTAAACAAAATTTTTGTACATAAATCGTATTCAGAAACAAGATGTGCTAATTAATATGAGTTCGGAGATAAAAGTTTGACAAAAAAATTTGGACCAATATTTAATTTTTGGATTAGATTCTTACAATAACCCCCTATAAAATTCTCAAACATTTAGCAGAAGTGAGTCATCTTGCCTTGTATGAACGCAAGTCAAGATCCATAAAATTTATTAAAGTTTCAGCAACACTCTTTCACAAAACTAACATAGGATGTAGAGTCGTTTACCATATTCCACAATGTTCCGACTATTAAATGAAAAGACACTACTATTAATACGTAAAAAGTTATTTCTATTCGAATCAACGAGTTTGCCGATCCCTTTTCTATTTTCCATTCATGTTCCATTTATTTATTTTGACGAGTCTGCAATCAACCCGACGTTAACGACATGTTTGAAGCATCAAACTAGATAGTTTTAATATATAACTTATTTAGTACGTTAAACTAGACATAATTTTGAGTACATTGTCGTAAAAATAATTCATGTTTATTCTTTCTTTCTTGGAATTTAAATACAACATTGTCTAAACAAAATCGATCGCTTGAGACTATTGATAACCACAACCTTAGACCTATTAACATAAATCATATTATTAAATATAGAATGTAAAAAATATTGATATGTGGCTGGTTAAGATTGAAAATTTTATTACACACTTCATAAAATGAATTATGTTTAAATTTTATTCAATATAACATATCAAAAATGCTATTTAGCCCAACAGAGACTGCAACTCTAGTCTAAGTGGCGGCAATGTTGCATTAAATAATAGGTGAAATTAAATAATTCATTTAGTTTTACTTTTAATTTAGGCTATTATCTAGTGCCACCTAGATTGAGATTGCAATCACGATGGAATATTACGTATTATTTTATAATGTGGATTATACTTAAAATCAAGTGAAATACAAAAAGAAGGCAACAAAACCTGCCTAACTTCTGGACATGAACTTTGAAAATTGATACTAGATTACTGTAATTGTCGACGTTGTCAAATAATATAACAAATCCCATCTCGAACTTGTATTTTTTCCGTTTTCTCCATGGAATATTGTATTAATTCTACGGCTTAGTCAAACAAGTTGTTATCCTTTTGAAAATTTTGTCAAAGGTAACACGAAATTCCACCTGTCTTGTTCATAGGCACGTGAATGATATCTTCTTAAAAAATGACATGGAATATCACTATTTCACGTGTTTTACTTTTAAGTTGAAGTGTTCGAAATTTGTCTGCACAGTCGACACGAAGAATGTTTGAATTTATAGTGTTAATGCTTTCACATTTGAATTGCTGTTTTCACTTTAATAATTGTGTGTATCCATTTGAAGATCAAGTGGTATAATACATTTAGCTTAGCTTTTCATAGAAGATTTTCCTCCAATTTTACCACTGACTTGATTCCAAAACCAATATCAACTCCACTGAATTTGGTGACATTTTCTTGAAGCATATTTATAGCAAATGATAAAGTTTCATGTCATGGGCTATGTGACCAGTGGCTCTAGACAAGCACTTATGCATCACTTTTGGACCATATACTTTAATTAAAGCAATCGACAATGTGGTAATGGTATTGGAAAAAGTCTACAAAATGAGTTCTTTTTCTCCTTTTCCTTCTGAACTTTCCATTCCTATATATAAATTGTAAAGAAATATAAATAAAATAAATATAAAATTTTTTAATACTGTCGTAACATATATCTTACCAAGTCGCTAAATTGTTGAATAGTCTATTAACCAATTGGAATTTAATAGAGAAATCCTAGCTCATTAATCTCATTATATACACTTATATATCAAGCGTACAATTCTATCTATATTTTCTTGGCTTCTATGCACCATAACAGTATAACCAAAATTGTAAAAGAAGTGGAAATGATACGAATAACAAGAAATGTAAAATAAGAGATCAATTTCCAACACCGGGGCTAGGAACGGATCGGAGAATTCGGTCGACGGCGGCGAGGTGGCGGGCGATTAACTTTTCATCGATGATCATGGTGTGACCCTTCTTGCTAGGGGTGGAAGCCGGCACTGTGCCCTTCGGAAGAACGTTTAGATACAATCCATCGTCGAAAGACTGTATTTTCAAGAACTTCCGGCCATGTATGGAGGAAACAAAGGTGGCAAAGAAAATCAAGACGACAAAAAATAGTATTAGATTTCTTCGAGCCATTAAGGTTCTAACAACAAAATCTAGAGAGAGAGAGAGAGAGAGGAGATTTTCTGGTTCTGTTGGCGGGGAAGGTGGATCAGTGAAGATGGTTTTGAGGAGATGAACTTTGTTAGAGGGACAAGTGTTATGGAGAAGGTTAAATAATGTATAGGAGTAGTGATAGCATTGGGGCTCAAGTTAGTTGGGCTAAGTCAAAATTGAAATTTTGTTTTGATACTTGAATTAAATAAAGCAGTGGTGGGGATGGGATATTGGCGGAAAGAGAGAGGTATAAAGCAATGCGAATGGTGGGAGATGGTGTTACTATCAAGTTTTGGTTGTATTGAAAAATGCCGCGTGGAAGCTAAATTTATGTTATAATTTACATCAACTTCAGTGAAAAGGATAGTGTGGGGCTGGTTAACATAATTAGGAGAAAAATTC